ATTGCCAGGATTTATAAACGGATGAGCTTAAGATACTTTTATTTCTTTCTTTGTTGCTCTGTTAATTTTTATCCCAGTTACTAGGAAGTTTCTGCTCTAGAGTAAATTGTGCATTTTTTTGTGTTCCACAGTCATCTTTATATGTGCGTCCTTATTTAATAGTTTGAAAAAAGACAAAAATTGTAAGTTAATCCTTCTGCAGGATTGATTATTTAGCTGTATTTCTGCACCTTTGTGCAAGTTTTCATACCAAAAACATGAAAAGTAATATAAGTTTAATTAGGCCCGAGCAGCGAAAGCGCTGCGAAGGCCTCTTGTTTTTGCTCCGATTATTATTCTTTCTTTTTTTGTTATTCCGTGCCCCCTTTGAATGGCTTTTTGGGGACCTTAACATACCCCAAAACTCACAATATTTTGCAAACTTGTCAGGCCTGGTGAAAAATTTGATATTTGAAAGGTCCCAAAAAAATCGCAAAGAAAATGGCTGAACAGCGCCCCCTACAATGTGAAAAAAACCCCTCTCCATAAAGCTTAGTTTATCGTACAGTTATGAAATTTGGTACACTTGTAGTACTCAACATTCCGCACAGAAAAGTCTCTTGCAAGCATGGTCAATATCAAACAGGAAGTCGGCCATTTTGGGTTGAAATGGCGATTTTTGGCCGTTTTTGCCGTTTTTAGGGTCAGTTTCTGATTGGATTGCTCGATCATTTTTCGCACGATCGTCTCAAAAATGGTATAAAATTGCTCAGAAGAAATGGCCGAACAAAATGAGACAAGGATTCTGAGTTTTCGTATATGTTGAAGGGGCGGGGCCAGGCCTCGAAGTTTGACTACTCGCCAAAAAAATTAAAACTGCTATAACTTCATAATTGAATGGAATAGAGTTACCAAACTTTCTGTGGTCATTCGTCATCTACCCACAAAGTAAAATGAATGGTCGGATGATGACATCACACAAGCCCCGCCCCCTCAGGACCTAAAAGGTCAAGTTTTACTATGAAAGGTCCCAAATGGCCCCATTTCACTCAATCCCCACAAATTTGTAGCTGTTAACTCAAGACAAGTGAGGGTTGCTTGGCGTCACTTTATGGGAGTTTTCGACAGAGGGCGGGGCTGTGGCGGCGCGGCGAAGTCAGGCGTACCGCCGTGGCCTTACGTTTGCCTCCCATTTCGTCATTTCTAAAAATATCGTCACGAAACTTCTTGTGAGTGATCCTAGTCCGGCCCCCCAAAAGATCTGATGTGAACATCCGGTGGGCGTGGCCTATTTTCTGAAATAGCGCCCCCTAGGACCATTAAAACTGTCAGCCCCAAGCCATGCTTTGACTGAGGATTACGAAATTTGGTACACTAATGTGGTGTCTCAGGACCTACAAAAAAGTCTCTTGGACCCAAGTGCAAAGTCGTACAGGAAGTCAGCCATTTTGGTCCAAGTACGCGATTTAGTGGTTTTCGCACACGTTGTTTGGAGAGTGATGCTCCGTCGTCCTTTTCACCAATCTCCTTCAAACTTCTGCCATATGCTCTTAAGTCATAGGGGAAAAAATTCAACCGTCGGATTTTTCAAAAGTTGAAAGGTGTGGGCGTGGCTAAGCCTCAAACTTTGACCTGTCGCCACGCCACTCTTTTTTTCACAGCTCCCTACTGGACTCCTTTTACCCAATCACCAGGATTCTGTGGCAAACAGCAGTAGACAAGTTGAGGTTACTTGGTCTCCAGTACTGGCAGGTTTCGAAAAAAGGCGGGGCTTTGGGAGCATGGCGAAAATTACCATCACGCCATGGAAATACGTTTGCCTCTCATTTCTTCAGTTATCGTGATATCGCTACGAAACTTCTGGTGAGTGATCCTAGTCTGAGCCCCAAGAGAAATAAAAAGCTGAAGTTTGTGGGCGTGGCCTATTTTCTGAAACAGCGCCCCCTAGAGCCATAAAAACTGTCAGCCCCAAGCCAGGCTTTGACTGAGGATTACGAAATTTGGTACACTAATGTGGTGTCTCAGGACCTAAAAAAAAGTCTCTTGGAGCCAGGCAAAAACTCGCACAGGAAGTCGGCCATTTTGGTCCAAGTACTCGAATTAGTGGTTTTCGCACACGTTGTTTGGAGAGTGATGCTCCGTCCCCCTTTTCACCAATCACCTTCAAACTTCTGCTATATACTCTTAAGACATGGGGGGGGAAAATTCAACCGTCGGATTTTTCAAAAGTTGAAAGGTGTGGGCGTGGCTAAGCCTCAAACTTTGACCTTTCGCCACACCACTCTTTTTTTCACAGCTTCCTATTGGACTCCTTTTACCCAATCACCAATAATCTCTGGCAAATAGCAGTAGACAACTTGAGGTCACTTGGTATCCAGTACTGGCAGGTTTCGAGTAAAGGCGGGGCTTTGGCAGCATGGCGAAAATCACCATCACATCATGGAAATACGTTTGCCTCTCATTTCTTCAGTTATTGTGATAGCGCTACGAAACTTCTTTTAAGTGATCCTTGTCTGACCCCCAGGAGACAAACATAGCTGAAATTTGTGGGCGTGGCCTATTTTCTTAAATAGCGCCCCCTAGGACCATTTAAACTAATAGCCCCAAGCCATGCTTTGACTGAAGATTACGAAATTTGGTACACTAATGTGGGGTCTCAGGTCCTACAAAAAAGTCTCTTGGAGCCAAGCGTAAAGTCGCACAGGAAGTCGGCCATTTTGGTCCAAGTACGCGATTTAGTGGTTTTCGCACACGTTGTTTGGAGAGTGATGCTCCGTCGCCCTTTTCACCAATCACTTTCAAACTTCTACTATATACTCTTAAGACGTAGGGGAAAAAATTCAACCGTCGCATTTTTCAAAAGTTGAAAGGTGTGGGCGTGGCTAAGCCTCAAACTTTGACCTTTCGCCATTACATTACTTGACTTAATAACTCCCATGTGCAAGATCGGATCTTTTTCAAACTTTGTCTGTGTGATCATTGACCATATCTGTAAAAAATGACAATGTGGACAGCTGACATCACCTAAGCCCCGCCCCCTGACTACAGGAAGTCTATTTTTTTATGCTGAAATGCCCATATTTGTCCCCTCTAATTTAGTCAACATGACACCAAGGTCATGCACTGTCTTCATGATAATGTATTGACCATTCAGATCTGATAGCTTTCCAGAAGGGGAGGGGCTTTGATGCCATGGCGAATTCTGGCGTAACGCCGCAACCTTACAATTCAATTTAATGGTGAGCTCAGAGGGGATGCTGAGTAAGGGTGAGGTGCGGACTAGGAGGCCAATTGCGGTTTCTAGTGTCGGGGTGGTTGACGTTTCTGTTCTGCCAGACGTGCCCTGGTGCCCCGGGCTGTCGGCCAGGCCGGAGCGGCGCGGAGCTGCGAGGGCCGAACGACGCTGCTTGCAGCTTTAATTATAAATTGTTTTTGCAAATGGAGTCAGTTTTTGTTCTTAAAAGAACAAAATAACATCTAATAATGTTCAAGAAATGTGTGGAAAAATGACAAATTTTTGTTTCTAAATCAAGTATTAAAAAACTTTAAAATAAAAACACATTTAGAATTTTTTTGCTGCCTCTCATCAAGACAAAACTCCTTCAAAATAGAGAATACCTGGTCTACTCGGCAGAGAAGGTCACATTATTATTATTATTGTGCAATTATGTAGATAGATTCATTGAGAAAATGCCAACAGTTTGGCAGTCAGAAAATGTATCAACAGTTTCTTCCTAAAGGCTGCTCCCTTTCCTGCAAGTTTAAAGTATTTTTTTATTCCAGCTGTCACACAGCCTATTTTTTCCCTGTCGTCTTGTTTTTATTTTCACTTCCATTTCCTGTGAGTGAAATGATCTTCACTCTCAGCCAGTCTCCTTCATTACACCTAATAAGGTGTCATATAATTTCATTTCCATGCTTCACTTGTCAGAAAGGGATTCCAATCCTGCTCCAATTTTGAGTTTTAATAGATATTAGTCCTTAGCACTCTTCTAACAATTAAACCTCCCAGTTTTGCTCTTAATGAAAATCAGATTAAGACATATAATCTAATTACAGTCTGTATTAATCCACCCTCTGATGCACTCTGCCTACTGCTCTGCCTCCTCACATCCTCTTTGCCACAATCAGTTACCGAGCCTGACAGAATGTCAATCAAGTCCTTATAAATAAATATAAATAATAAAAGAGCTCGGCTTTCTCTTTGTCTGATAAATGCAGCCTTGTGCATTTGAACCTATCCTTGAAACTGTGCGGGTTAATAAATGTCAAAAGTAATAAAAAATTATGGTTAAGGAAGAAAGTTAACCTCATAAATTAATTCAACCTACAGGATGAAATGACCCATTTAGACTTATAATTTAGAAATGAACTTCTCCCCCTCTATCAGGAGTTTTTGTCAGTTTTATCGTGACTACATGATTTGGATGGGGCCGTGAAGTAGACTCGGACTGATAAATTCCCCGCGTATATCTGCGGTTTCTGTGGGGAGAGCGGCTCTTATCAGAGGCCCTTTTGATGTGCTGAAATCTGTCGCACCGAGACTCGTTTGGATCTGCGTGTTGTGTTTCTGTTGCTCTTTTGACTTCTTTCATTATGCTTTCTTAATTGCTGTCGTCGCTGTGTAATTATTATTAACGTCATTAACAGCTGATTCCTGCCTCTCCAAACAGCGTCAGCAGCAATCGTGCTTTTGGGGTAGCTGGTGGTCAAATTCAGAAACTAAATCTAAGATGAGGACGAAAAAGTCTGGAACCACAATCAGTTTCATCACTTCAGAGAGAAATGATGAACTCGCCCCGCTAGACTGCTGCGTTACTCAATGAAATGAAATTATATGGAAAATTGATAGAGATTTTAGCTTGCATCCCCCCTCTACCTCATTAGATTGAACTCAGTAGAATTAAAGATATTTTCAGAAAGAGCCTAATATTTGAAGCCTTGCTTATGTTCACCCTTCTTACTTTCCTCTCCTTTTGCTTTCATGTCTTCGTCTGTTCTTCCCTCGTGTCCCGTCTCAGGCTTTGAGACGGCCAGGTCCTTTGCTCTACATGGTGCCCGTGTGATCTTGGCCTGCCGGAACTTGTCTCGCGCCAGCAAGGCGGCTAACCTAATTCAGCAGGAGTGGGTAAGTGAGACATTATGTGCGACCACTGTGTTTATAATTTTTTTAATTCAATTTTTTTTATTTGAGAATGGGAAATAAGCCAGTCTGACAGCCAGGAGGCTATTTTTGAAATCATGATACAATATGAAATGAAAGAGATAAAAAAAAATCTTATTTCTGTGCTTTTCCTTTCTCAGAGCTCTCCACAGACGTTTAATTTAACACTTAATCTTAATTTTGCATCATTTAACACATCAGGATCAAATAAACAAACTTCCTATCAAACATTGCTTCCTGTGTCAAGCGGTGTCTCAAAACTAGAATAATTACCATCCATCCATTTTCATCCACTCATCAGGTTGCGAAGGCAGTTAAAGCACAGAGGCCCAGACTTCTCTCTCCCCAGCCACTTGGGCCAGCTCCCCTGGGGGAACCCCAAGGCATTCTCTGGCCAGAACATAGTCCCTTCAGTGTGTCCTGGTTCTTCCTTTAAGTCTCCTCCCAGTTGGACCAGATCCCCGATCCACCTCAACTGGCTCCTCTCGATGTGGAGGAGCAGCAGCTCTATTCTGAGCCCCTCCCAAATGACCGAGCTTCACACCCTATCTCTAAGGGAGAGCCCAGCCATCTTGCGGAGAAAACTTATTTCGGCTGCTTGTATCTGCAGTCTCATTCTTTCGGTCACTACCCAAAGCTCGTGGCCAGGTGAGGGTAGGAACGCAGACTGACCGATAAATCGAGAGCTTCGCTTTCTGGCCCAGCTCTCTCTTCACCCGACAGACCGGTACAACGTCCGCATCACTGCCGACGCAGCACCAATCTGCCTGTCGATCTCACGCTCCAGCTTTCCCTCACTCGTGAACAAGACCCTGAGATACTTTAACTACTCAACTTGGGGCAGGATATAAGGAATTCTACCCTTTTCTGACTCAAGACCATGGACTCAGATCTAGAAAAGTAAATACATAGTTGTTTTTAAAGCAGACTCCAAATTAGCTTTTTTTCATGACTTAAAAATATTACAAGCTCTGATTTTACTCTTGTTGAATCTAATTTGAGAAGCTTTCATTTTATTTACGTTGAGATAATCATAAAGCAAGAGAGTAATTCATATATTCTAATAAAAATGAACACATTTAATCATTTTAAAGAGAGCATATTATACAAAAACCATCTTTTACATCATTTTGTACTGCCCCTGTAAACCCTCCAAACATGGAAAAAATCTCATCCATCTGTTTTCTGTCCGTGTTTGGTTTTGGGTAGGGATGCACCGATCAGGTTTTTTGCTGCCGATCACCGATACCGATATCAAAGAATGCTGATCACCGACACCGATCACCGATACCGATCACGTGGATTGGCCAGAAATTTTCTACAACATTATAATGAGTGCTACAAACTACATAATCTGGGAATAAAGGAAATGTAACCTAATCTAAAATGGTCTGTATTAGGGTTGTCACGGTGTGAAAATTTAACCTCACGGTTATTGTGACCAAAATTACCACGGTTTTCGGTATTATCGCGGTATTTTTTTTAAACGTGCTACATTTTCACACAATTAAATAAACCCTGTATGTCAGGAAATATTGTCCTCAGTTTGTGTCTAAATTTTGCCTAAAATGTGTTATTTTGTAATTATGTTGTTTATTTGTTTACATTTTTCCCCTTTAGTCTTTAAAATACCAATATTTGCCCATAACTTCGTATTTTATGTCTGTTTGATGTCATCATTTAAAAATATTAGATCAGATGATACTCAGTACTCAAGTAGCCTTCTAATCAGAAACTTTTTTTTACCCTTACTTGAGCAATCCGTATTTCATGAAAATATTGTCCTCGGTTTGTGTCCTTACCAGTGAGCTTTGCAGATGTGGGAAAATGTCATCAGGCAGTAATCATTGTTAAATTCATAATTATTCTCGGAGAGAGACCAACTCTTATCTGCCCCTGGGAGCCCCGTAATGCATAGCGTCATTTCAACATGGGGGTGTCCGCGACACGGTTTATATGCAGGTAGCGGCGCTGCGGCTGCTTGATATAGCGACTCATTGCATTCTCCCTCAACCCAAATCCTCGGATCACGCATTTTAGCTAAAACGCTAACGTTAACTTGCCTTGCGTTGACTGTAGAGTTGTGGGTGATGGTCACGCAGATGTGTCATGAGATAAGAAGCGTTGCTGCCTTTCACAGACACTTTTTCTGCTCGTGCTGCAAACAGGATAGCCGCCCGTCTTCTATAAACTCCCTCGGCATTCTTCAAATATCTAAAATATGCCCGTACTTCCGACTTTGTCTTTTTTGAGGGATAATAAATGTCCTCCTGAGCGCTGCCGTCTCCTCCTTTGACCATTATTTCAGCTTTAGCTTCAAGAAAGTTTTGTTGTCAACAAAGCGTGTATGTGCCGCTGGCAACTTCTGCAGATGATACGGTGGCTGGTAAGGATCACCGCGCCTACACCGCAGCCACGGTAAACCCACCAAGATAATATAGTTTTTTAAAAACAAGACGGTTATTATTGTCAACTTTTTTTTTTTTTTTTTTTTTTACCGGGGTTTAGCGCTACACTGGTTACCGTGACAACCCTACCTGATCGGTTTGCTTTGATCTATTTTGAAAATTACGATCAAAACCGATAGGGGCGCTATCGGCCGATTACGATCAAATGCCGATCCATCGGTGCATCCCTAGTTTTGGGAATTATGTGCCTAAAACAAGCCGTTTCAAAAAGTCCTTGTTTGAGATGTCACAAATTTGAGTTGAACCACCTCTCATGTTCAAGAGAGATGGCCCCTCCCACTACAAGCCCCCCCCCCCCCCCCCCCCCCTAGATATCAGAGCTTCTCAGCTAATAGCAGCCTGAGTGGGGAATGGGTGGGTGTGGCCAGCTCCAGTTTGCCCTGAAAGGGCTCATTCTGGAAGGTACTAAAATGTCAAGAATGAAACTGCTGAAATGGTGTTATGTTCTCAAAGGTTCATAAAATTAAAAAAAAAAACAATGCAAGGTACACTATGATAAGATTGTGGCAGGCATGGTTTTAGAGTAGAATATGGTTATTTAAACATTATATTCAAAATTGTAGCAACAAAGTTAAAACGTTTGAATTTAACTGCAGTTCACAGGAACAATGAGAAACCCTCAGTCTCTGAGAATGGAGTTAAACAGAGGGAGGGGGAGGAAAAGTGAGAGGGCATCTGATAATTACCTGAGATTATTGCTCTAATATCGCTGCACTTGTGACATGTCACCAGATTTACGAGTTTGGGAAAATAAACAAGCAAAATGTGGGTGCTGGAGCAGAAAGAATAAGCCATTAGCACTGGGTTGATTACAGAGAGCAGGACTTGAAGATGGAGGAGAGCGAGTGCTCAGCGCAGATATGAGAAGAAAGGCTGAGAGGGAGGAAAAAAGAGAGAGAGAGAGAGAGAGGGGGGGGGGGGGGGGGGAGACAAACGCCTCTGAGCGTGAGTAGATCTACAGTGTTTAAACTCGCCAAACTCCCTAATTGAAGTATGCCCCTGGGGCTGTCAGTGCTGCTCCACACTGTGAAATCCACTGCTTTGTTTAAATGGGTGAGGAAAAGCTCCCAGTACCACAATCTGTACCACAATTGATTTTCCAGCTTCACACCTGCCACAGATTCATCTACGACACTAAATGTAGGTGAATTAACAAATGGGAGTAGCGTAGAATTCCTTTTTAGGAATAAATGAGGGATGGAAATGATTATCTTACGTTTTTCTATTGAACTCTCGCGCTCCGTAGGCAGACTCTCCTGCAATTTAAGTACTGAATTAAGAGTTTGGTGTAGTCTGAATAAAGAGACGGGGCAGTAAATTAGTATTTCTGAAACGGTCTCTCCTTATTTCCTTCTCGGGGAATCTCCCCGTTACAGGCTAATGAATAAAAGTCACAATATCAGAATAAATCTTTGCAGCAATTCTCTCCCCCCCCCCCTTTTGGAGACATTATTAATAGATTCATGAGAAGAATGGAGAGGAGGATTAATCTTTAAGGTGATGGATAGCCTCTGCTTACCTTCCCATGCTCCTATGTTAAGGTCATTTTGATAAGTGAGTATATTTTGGGGTCCTCTGTAGAAAAGGTCACCATATCTACTTCCAGGTCCCTTCCAGAGTTCCGCTCTGGCTGCCAGGAGGGGAGCTGCCATCCCGATTGTAAGACCTCTCACCTCTAACTACCTGCTTAGTATAACTAGGAACTCTCTTTTTCTCCAACTCTTTCTTTTTTTTTTTTAGTTCTGTCCTTCTGAGTGGGAGGGCTTTGGTACTCAGAGGTGAGAGTGATTGCCCGCACCATTTGCGAGGCGGTGCGGTTCAATGCAGCACCGTGTACTGATAGGGTGTATAACCGTGAGGTCAGCGATGGAAAATGGGGAGGTCAGAACGGCTAGGAAGAGCTGGGTCAGAGGGCTCATCCTTCCCAGCCGATCGTGCCGTGTTTCACCAGTGAAGAACAATACACTGAATGGAACATTCCTGGAAGAGAAGCGTCCGTCCTGTACCTAACGTACCTAATCATTAATCTCTTCATCTGCACAGGCCCAATCTGAGCTTTCTCTTTTTGTTTTAAATTGAGTTGAAACCTCTCCAGCAGCCTCATTAGAAGTGTTAAGAGTGGCAAAGAGGGGGTGAACATTTAGCTTGTGATTGTGTTCTACGATAAGCTCAGTGATAGTTGCTTTCATAGGGTTCAAGAGGGGCTGGATTCTACAGGCTGTGATGAAGCCTCAGTAAAACCAGAGTATTAGAGAGGAGGAGAGAAACACAGACAGAGAAGGAACAAAACGCAGTGGTTCCACACATGTTGCATGAATTATCCCAACCTGTCAGGTGGAGTCTTTTTATTCTTCTTCAGGCATAAAAAGTAAAAATTTGAACTTCATTTTTTCAAATGAATTGCCAAAAAGATTAATTTGTTTTCATGCATTTTGCCTTTTAAAGTTGCTGTTTGGCAAACAAATTATTAAAGCCCTAGCGGTCCTTAAAGGAATG